CGAAATATTCTCTGCTATTTTAATGATAAAGCTTCATTTAAAAATTATTAAACAGCTTTCCCACTGAAAACCAAAAAGCTTTAAAGTGAGTTATAATTAAGGTTGTTCAGAAGTTGAAACTGTGCAGTATGGCTTGACTCACTAAAGATGATACCTGGAGTATCATAAAATGCTTTTCTCTACACTGGACTTGGTCTTTTATTTTTCCTGTCTACTAGAGGAAATACATTAGGGGTATTGAGTTCACTGGAGCACCAGCATATTGGTACATTCTGCTCTCGGAAGTAAGAGCATAGCAAGTAAAAACTGAGGGGTTTTGTCCTGGAGAAGAAAGAAAACACCACAAGAACACACTGCTTCATTATGCTAGCTTTTACCTCGGCTCTGTTACATATTTTGCAATTCCATCACATGTAAAGCTCCAACTATTCTTGTTACATGCATCATCTTATGTGGGAGTTCTTTCAGATCTTCAGTATTGGCTTTCTTTTCCCAGTTAATCATTGCCCTTCCAAAACTTGGTTGTGGAAGAGGAAAATCATGTTCACCTCATCAGTACAAACTGTACTTCCACTAGCACATGATAGCTCTTACCTTGCTGTCACACTCTATATATAAACTCCCTGCAACCCTACTGGGAGAAAAGTCTGCAAAGGTCCCTGGGTTGCAAACCAGAATGCAATGTAAGCTTATGCTTCAGAAGACTTGATCACAATTCAATTAATTGCTCGTTATCGCAGTGGAACGGGACTAACCTGAGCTAAAGTTATCAGCTATTGGACAGTGCTTCAAAAAGCAGGTACATGTTTCAGATAACAAGAGAGTAAAAATCAGTTTTCAGTAAATTATCTGCTTATTATAGCTCTTCATTTCTAACCAGGTAATTACTCTGGGATGAGTGCCACAATTATTTATAAAACCTATCAATCAAGTTATTACCCAGGTAAGCTGTTTCCTTAGTGACCTGCAGAAAACATGACCTGTTTTTCAGCTGGTTATGCTTTAACAGGCACTAAGAGAAATAATGTGGCAACAGCAGCTGTTCCATTAGAGGAAAAAGTAAAAAAAAAAAACCCACATATATATTTAGTCATCAACTTTTCTGAACAATACTCACCTTTCTGTTATCACAGGCTTCTCTAGAAGACCTGTTCCCTGTCCCAAAGGAGTGTTTCAGAGAGATGACAGCCAGGTCTATGCCCAGGGTGCACTATGGGTAACCAGTCTCACTTCATATGGTGAATGCACAAGCTGAGGCACTTTGTGTCAGGGTAGGAGCCTATCTGTTCTCCGTGTACCTCATGTAACATACCTGGAAATTTTGTAGCTGAATCAGTGTGTAAAAAATACTGAAATTCCCACATTTCTTGGAAACTAGCCTGAACACCAAGCAGGCTAGTTTCTGTAGCCAGGCTGTGCTCTTTTCTGCACCAGTGACTTGACAACCTTACTGGTTATGGACTGGATAGGCAGGTCCTTGCTATGTATCATTCAGGACTCTGTTTTGTCCACTAGCCCAGCCCCTTCAGCCACTACACCTAATAACCGCACCTTGACTGCCTTGACCTTACAGCTCGCCCCACACACCTCTCTGACTGTGGCACACCAATCCAGAAAAGATGAAATACTTTCTAGATGGGAAGCAAGTCTATTGCAAAACAATGCTCTCACAAACTGAGTAGTTTTCCAAGATGATACAAGTTAAGTTTCTCTACAAGTATTAGAACAATAACATCGCAAGTTTCAAAAAAATTACTTACCCATACACCCAAACAATGTAGCAAGGTTTAAATGAATTATCTTCAGGCACTGAGGGACACAGTAGCATAGGCAGTTTCTTAGTCATAATTAGACTCTCAGCAAGAACTAATGTCAAGGACACTTACCACACTTAATGCTATTTCAACAAGTTTAAAACATGCAAAGATTTCAAGAACTGTAATGTGTCTGCTGGCTAACTTTAATCACCACAGTTCCAGTTACAGTGCAGCCCTTAGCAACAGAAAAATAATTTTCATTTCCTAAAGTGTTTTTTATCCTCAAGGAAAAGTTTAATGCAAATGTCTTTCATCAGAATCAGTCTCCCACCAGCAGCTGCTTTAAAAAAAAAACAAAAAACAAATAACCTACCAGCTTTATGAGCTATCATATATTCAAAAGACACACTTCTCACACCTCCACACCTCTTCCCATTTGCAAATGCGGTCTCAGTTGCTGTCCAGGCAGCCTTCAGAACTAATGGCAAAGTAAGTCTCCTGTCATCAACAGCACTCTCTCAAACAGATGCCTTCACCACTCCTCCTGCAACTCTCACCCAATGGAAAAGCCACCAGTTAGAGCAATGGGACTTTATTAGTGGGTGAGATGCTGCCCTCTTAGTCCCAGACTTTCTCACTTTAAAAGAGGGGGGCACAAAACAGTGCAATCTGTCATACTGTCTCTCTGCCCACTGCTGCCCGGGTACGTCTCCTGAACTTCCATGGTCTTGCTTGAAGATGCCTTTCTGGAGAAGGAGCGTCATACACATCTATCATCTCCTCACTCAGTGGCGAAATTCACAGAAACCATGGAAGATACTGTATGGGATGGAACAGGGAGGAAAGGCAGAGCGCATGCACAGGGTAAAGATGGGAGGAAGAAGCACCAGTGGATAAGTGATAAGTGGATGCTTCTTATAAGGATAAGCATGAAAGATGGACTTAAAGTGGAAAATAAATTGTACCTGGTTTCAGGTTACTTCTCTGAAAGTCATTCATATGTCTTTGCCCTGTTCCCCCCACCCCATACATATGTGCATGCAGACGATCAATCATCAGAAATGCCAGGGAGGTGGAGGGAGAGGGCACAGGCCTGTTAGCCAATTGCCTAGGATTCAGAGGGCCATTTTTCTGCCATCTTAATTTGCTCATCAGTAAAATCATTCAGTGGGGAAAAATTCTGCACAAAATTGCTGCTGCGAAAGCATGAGAATTAGCATAAATGGTATGTTGCCTGGCTGAGCTGAAATACAAACATTTAAAATAGACTCTAGGTTTCAAGGGAGGGGAGACTTCTAGGAGAGCAGTCACGCCAGGTGGTCAGTAGCAGAGAAAATGAGGGTATCCAAAACCATCGTACTAGAGAAGGAAAAAAATGTCCCTTCTAGAGTGTTTTAAAGAAACAGAAGTAATTAGGATTGACATTTACAGCAACAATCAGCCTGTTTAAGAATGAACTACAGCACCCTTCCCATACGTGCTGCAGTTACTTTCCATTAGGTCTGAGAAGCATCTCTCTTAATCGACATGCTGTTAAAATTCTTTGGTTTCCTAAGAATGGTTGCTGTCCTCCCTCAAAAAAGTCAGCGTGCAGATTCATGGATACTGTCCTTATACATAAATGTTTGCTAGATGTATATATACACCTTATTCTTGTACACCAAGCTCATCAATATCTAACAGTTTCTCTAATGAGCTATGACTATTACATACAACTTATGACCTACAGTCACACTTCATTGTGGAGGCCAATGAAATCACTGTTCAGTGCTTGTCACATTGCTGAAAAGCCAGGAAGAACATCTAGCAGGATGCACATTCACAATCTGGGCATTTTATGTGCCACCTTATTTGAAGTTACAAAACAGAAACATTTTCTTGGCTCTGAAGTTTGGTTACTGTGCAGTTATGGGGTATGATTATACACCATTCTTGTGGAAGGAGCTATCAAAAGCAGTATCGAAGAACCTTGCAAATTATCAGTACTATGGTTTAAGTTAAAAGCTCCAGTCATAAAATGCAGACCTTCAGATACAAAGCAGGCTTTCAGTAATAACTAGTGTTCAGAGTTCTAACACTATCCTTTATAAAAGAAGGTTGTTAATTTGCAAACTGTAATTAAAATACAAACTGTCTGAAAGAAGTTCTCTTTTGGCTCAGTGACCTTCTCACTTAATGGTAAGACATTATTCTTGCCGAACTGACAGAGCCAAAACCAAAACTCCAAAGTAAATGTGTTTAACACCAGGAGGTGCTGGTTTGTTATCATCCCAGTAAGAAAGGCACTTGGACTCTGTAAAGTCTCATTTAAAATGCTATTTATTAGATCTAATGCTATAAAGAAAGAGGATAGTATAGATAATTTTATATCCCTTCAGATGCTGGGAACCCCAA